CAGTTACCTCCTCTGGGATCTAAACATCCATCCACGTTTTTGCCGTGCATGGCAACCCATGAAGACCTCGACACATTTTCCACGGTATCCTCATCCATGGTAGAGTCCTGCCTGTCAAGAGGCAAGGAGGGCTCAAAAACTGGCCTGGGATACCTTCTGATGGTATCTCTCTCTTTCTAATTGCATAATTTATCAGTGGGCCCGTGCCCATGCTCGGCTGGTTTGACATCAAAGCCAAAAGGAGTCTTGGATTAAATTCACTATTAGCATATCTTCTACCACCAGTTTCAAAACAATATGGGACAAGAATCGGAAAGTCACTGAGAAATATGCTTCTCATCCCCTTTCCATCCTGCTTTCCACTGGCCAGGAAGTTGCTGATGTCCATAGCATTGCTGATGCTCTTGGCCACAGCTTTTCTCATGCATCTAGCACTTCTGTTTCTACCCCTGCCTTCTTGACCATCGAGTATCGAGCAGAGCGATCACCTCTTTCCTTTTGGGCTGATCGTCTCTACGACTATAATCGCTCCTTTACACTGGTGGAACTTAAAATTGCTCTTTATCGATTTGATAGTACATTGGTTGGACCTGATGATGTTCATTATGAGATGCTGCGCCATCCTTCTCCTGCCTTTCTTTCTATTCTTCTGGAAGGAGCATGTTTTTACCGATGTTTGGCATCAAGCTATTGTCCTCCCTTTCTCTAAACTTGGGAAGGATCCAAAGATTCTTTCTGATTATCGTCCCATTGCTTGGACTAACTGTCTTTGTAAGGTCTTAGAGATGATGGTTAATGCTCGTCTTGTTTGGTTCCTCAAATCAAACACACTCCTCTCGCCCACCCAGTGTGGGTTCTGTCAACAACACTCCACCATCGACCATCTGATTCTACTTGAAACATCGATCAGGGAAGCCTTCCTCAAGAAAGAACATTTTGTTTCCGTGTTCTTTGATCTTGAGAAGGCTTATGACTCTACATGGAGGTATGGCATTTTGTAGGACCTCCACTCTTATGGGTTGCGTGGCCATTTACCCATTTTTATTCAGAACTTTTTACTGGACAGACGTTTCCAAGACTGTGTGGGTTAGACACTTTCCCGTTCCTTTCCATGAGAACATGGAGTCAAAATTAATACTATCACTACATACCTTCTTCCAACTGTTGCAAATGGGCTCTATGTTGATGACTTCTACATCTCGTGTCAGTCATTGAACATGAGGTTTATTGAGCAGCAGCTTCAGATTGCCCCCAATCACTTGTTGATGTGGACCACTGCAAACGGTTTTACATTTTCTTTTTCCACAACAGTTTTCATGCATTTTTGCTACCAACGGGGTCTAAACCCTGATCCCGAGTTTCGTCTCGGTGATATTGTTATTCATGTGGTCTCTGAGGCAAAGTTCTTGGGGCTTATCTTTATTCATCAGCTTACCTTCATTCCACACATCAAGCAGCTATGTGTCAAGTGTACAAGGGCTCTGAACATCCTCTGTGTCCTCTCATCCCCCTATTTGGGAGTGGAACAACGTTCTATGCTCAGGATCTATTGTGCCCTGATTTGATCCAAACTGGACTATGGGTCATTGGTCTATGGTTCTGACCTGGAGCTTCGGCTCTGCACTGGGACTTTTCACACTGCTCCAGTCCAGAGTTTGTACACTGAGTCCCTCTTCACCTCTGTCATTTACCATTTTCTCTACAATATGCTACCAAGCTTTGATCCTTACCACAGTATCCCATCTGGGATTGTGTCTTTCTTCCTAGGTGGGCCATGCTCTTTCAGAACAGATGGTCTGCAGTTTCTCCCTTTGGCCTTCGTTTCCAGGCACAACTGGCTGAATTGGGTCTGGCATTGGATGACATTGCTGTCCCCAATGATCAGCCTATTCTGCCATGGCTTATTACTATCCCTGCCTGTGACCTTTCCTTAAGTCATCTGAGGAAGGTGGATACTCCCAATTGGAAGTACCATATTCTTTTTACTGAACATATTTCAAGCCATTCTTCTCTTCCTACTTACATGGATGGTTCCAAATCGGGTGACTCAGTAGGCTCTGCCATAGTTTGCTGTGGCTCGGTAGTTGCTTGCAGGATCCCCTCTACAGTTTCTGTGTTCACTGCCGAGTTGTATGCTATTTCTCTTGCCCTGGATCATGTAGAAGCTATGCAGTACAGCGATTGTACTATTTACACTGATTCTTTTAACTCTCTACTGGCTCTGGAATCACTTAATGTTAGTTCTCACCCTGTTCTCGTCGATATTCAACAACGACTGGCCCATTTTTCTCTATCTTCCATATCCATCCAGTTTTTCTGGTATTTTCACGTCGGTATTCGCGGGAATGAGCTCACTGACACTGCAGCTAAGTCTGTATGCTCTGGCACCATCATGGCTATGTCTGTCTCATACATGGACTATGGTCCTGTATTGAAGGTGTGGCTTCATGCCAGTTGGCAGTCGACTTGGGGTGAGCAACATCATAACAAGCTTTTCCAGATAACACCTTCTGTTGCTCTTTAGCCATCTTGCTTCTATAAGGATCGGAAGGAGGAAGTTGTCCTGGCAAGGCTAAGCATTGATCACAGTTTTTAACTCATTGTTTATGTTTATCTGGTATTGACCCACCTATGTGTAGCCTTTGTGATACTCAAGTCACAATAGCCCACATTTTATTGTTGTGCTGTTGATACAATTGTGAGAGGCAACACCATTTTAGACATGTGTTTTGTAAGGGTTTACCCCTGACATTGGACAGTGTCATTGGCGATGGTGATACTGTCCAACTTGATTGTATTTTCAAGTTTTTAAGAACAATTGACCTTTTTAATTTGATTTGATTCTTTTATCTGTTCTTTGGACATATCTTGGTTTTAAATCACTTTATTTTTACATTCTACTACAATTTACTTTTACTGTTTTTACCAGTTGTTTGGTGCAGATAGCTTACTTGCTTTGCACCATAAAACACCAACCAACCAACCACAATTACACAGGCTTCAGATAGGCGGAACTTGACTGCAGAATTTTTGACTTTCATTCGATAGGAAGTTGATCATTATCAGAGTCTTCTCCTTCACCCAATATTGCTAGACTTCCTCTTTAATCTGCCAAACCTGTTCATGATGACAAGGATTTTAACAGCATTCCCAAGCCTTTCCTGTAGAATCTGCTAAGCCTAACTCAGCCTTTTTTAGACATGATTTCTCAGGTGTGTTCTATTTTTACCATTTCCCCAATTTCGTATAATCCTGTTCCTTCTCTTTTACATGACCCCCATTTCTCACATTATTTTGTTTTCCCTCCTCCTAATACCATGATTCATGTTGAGCATTTTGTTTCTCAGTTGAAAGTGGGTGCTAGCATACCTCAACTCCATGGACCTCGGATCATTTTGCCTTGGCTTACCATCAGTCGCATTACCCTTTTCTTGATTCTCAGCAGTTAGAATCACTTTTGTCTGTATGGGAGTGATCCTGACAATCCTATCTGTTTATCCCATGCCCAGAATCTCTCATTTGTCTTACCCCTATGACTCTCCTACAATACTTGTCCACCATACATCTCCTTTATGAGGTGTTCCACTGACCTCATGAGATATTTTTGAGGGATACATTCTCCCTCATTAACTATACGTTGGTGAGATTATCGTCTTCAGCTCTCTCCCTTCACACGTGGTTTCTTTGCTGTTGGGATCTTCTGAGGAGGGTTGCTCTCTTGTTTCAGGTTTGTTTACTGTCCACGTATCTTTGGGACTTTTGCATTGCTTCTTTTCTCCATCGATCTGATTTTGGGAATATTCCTGAAAATTTGGAATCTGTGTTGCAACATTTGACCTTTTCTTCTTTGGTTGCTCATTTTTCTGAACCATTTTAATCTCCTGTTACTGTTCCACATCCTGCACCCTCCTGTCTTTTACCTGTTCCTACCACTAGAGGTTCCATTATTTTTTGTGTTTCTCAAAGTAGGTTTCATTGGCACCAGCAGTACCAATGACTATCTTATGGGTTCCAGTCCAGTAGGGGCTCGTTTGGGCAATTTTGTTACCCTATGGTGAGAATTCACTGCTGATCCTTGGGTTATCCAGATTTTGTCTGAAGGACTTTTCTTTCAATTCCTTTTCCCTCCCTTATTGTCTCCAGTACCCATATCCTTTCCATTACCTCAGGTTGTTTGTGGTATCCAAGAAAACCAGGATCTGGTATCCTGTGATCGATCAGTCCTGCCTCAATCAATTTTTGGATCTTACTCTTTTTACCATGGAGTCTTTTCCTCACACTAAGATGGGCTTTTTTTCCAGGACTGTGAATGACCAAGGTAAATGTCTCAAATGCTTATCTCTATATTTCTATTTCTCATCATTCAAGACACTATCTTCAGTTTGTTCACCAAGGGATTGTGTATCAGTTTCATACCTTGCCCTTCAGACTTGCTTCGGCTCTGTATGTCCTTTGTCAGATGGTCAAAGCATTTGCCCAACTTATGCATGCTCGAGGTTGTGCTTATGCCATTACATACATGACTGGCTTCTGTTAGCTCATTCCAAATTAGAGACATTCACAACACACTCATCTGCTCCTGACAGAAGCAGCTCGAGTAGGTTGGATTATCAAGTTGAATAAATCTCTTCAGTGGACTTTGCATGACCAATGGGATCTTCCTTGGGATCCCTTGGGTTCTCCCATTTTCCTTCCTCCTTCCCTTGTCGATAATCTGCATTGGTGGTAGAACAAGACCCACACATCATTAGGTGTACCATTTCCTCCACCTTGTTCAGATTTGCATCTCTTCACAGATGCTTCCCTCCATGGTTGGGGTGGGTGAGTTGATCAACAGGGGGCTTCTGGACAATTGTCTATGGCAGAGAGTTTTTACCATCTCAAAATCTTAAAGCTCCTGGCAGGACAACATGATTTGGATCACTTTCTTTCTCTTGTAAGAAAGTGACTTGTCATGATTTTTTCTGACAATTCTATGCTGGTGGTTTATATCAGTTATGAAAGGGCATTTGTTCTAGTTCTTTTTGAGGTCAAACCTTCGATCTCTGTCTTTGGGCCCACATGCTTGGGATATGTCTCCTTGTGTGTCATGTTCTGAGTGTTTTCAACCTCGTGGCAGAGCACCTTTCCAGATCAGACAAAGTTTCTCCTATGGAGTGGTTTCTCGATCCTCAGGTTTACCAGTGTCTATGCACCTAGTCGGCTACTCCTCAGCTAGATGCCTATTGCCACTTTCCTCAACACCACATTACCATTTTTTTTGGTATTATGTTCCTTATTCCACATGCTCTAGCTGTTGATGCACTCAGCTAGGATAGGACCAAACAGTACCTTTATGTATATCTTCTCATCTGACTTCTTTCCTGGGTGATTTCGATCATCCATGCCACTCTGTGTCAGGTCCTTCTGATTGCTCCTTACTGGCTGACACAAACATGGTTTCCCCATCTACTTTGGCTCCAAACTGTCTCTCCCCTGCCTTCCTCTTACACCATTCTTTCTAGGTCAACCTCGGTCACTGATAATTCATCCCATCCTTCTTACCCTCCATCTTCATGGCTGGCTTTTATTAGGTCCTTGGCTAGGAGATCTGGAGGGTCTTGGCAGGTTGCTTCATTTAAGAGCATTCTATTTGTTCTTCCTTAGTGGTAGTCTATCAACATAAATGGAACACATTTTCCACCATTGGTCTTTGAGTCAGGGTTTTTCCCCCTTCTCGACCTATTGTTCCTCTTATTACGAATTTCCTCACTTGACTGTTCAGTCATAGGATGCCAGTCTCATCCATTGCTGGATATCGAGCAGCCTTATCTCACACCTTCCATTTTTTCTAGTACCTTTTAGTGTTTACCTCCCCTACCCTTTTTTTGGTTGCATTCCTTCCAGATTTGTATACCTCCTTGTCAGGTGGTCATTCCGAATTGGGATGTCAATGTGGTTTTTCACTGGCTTACTCTACCTCCATTTGAACCTTTGTCCTCCTTTTTTTTGTTTCACTTGCTCCATACAACTTCTTTCCTACTCCTGTTAACCTGTGGACATCATCATTCTGATATATTTGGCATCAACATTTCATGCACTCAATACCATTCCACCTATATTCCTGATACCAATTGGTTTTGGACTGGAGTTGACCTGCCACATATGGTCCATTGCACCCTTGCCACTCTACACCTTGGAGCACATATATTTTAGCTTTCCCCCACATTACTGTCTGTAGATATTTCTTATATGGTCTTTTCTCGATGAGATTGAGATTATAATATACTGTGGTTCTGATTCCAATCCAACCATTTTTCTCTCCCTTTTGGTTGTGCTTGGCCCTTTTTCTGCCCATGTATGCAACACCTCTTTCTACACTGGGCGCAGAATATACTTGGTACAGAAATGGTGCAGTCTCCCACATATGATCCTCTACTATGGAGTTTACAATTGTGGGGTGTTCTTTGGATGCTTTCAAAGGATGCTTATTTACGTCCTTCACAAAGATCCCTCAACCTATTCAGTATGGGATTCTAGCTCTATATTTGAGAGGAGGTAATATACCGTATCAGATGTTATAACTTTCCTATACTGAAAATATATTTCTGATAGGTACTTACCTTCTATCACACTTTCCACCCTTCCTCCTCATTGAAAAACAGTGCTTCTTTTTCTGACTAAACTTGGAGTAATAGTTCAGTAGAGTTGAATAGAGGGAGTCACTTGCATCAGGATGGTGTGTCGCACTCTTATTGATGGAGGGTTGTCGCATGATGATTTACATGCGAGACACAGTTAAACCACAATGATCGTGGGGTATGTGGAAGTGCACGGCTTGTGGCATGCAAAATGTTTTTGCATATAGAAAGCAGCACTGAACAAGAACAGCTATATATGTGACAGGAGGTAACTACTTATCAGAAATACATTTTCAGTATAGGAAAATTATAACTTTCACTAAATTCTGTTCATCAATTCTTCACACTGAGTGTTGTAACAGGTAAAGAGTATAAAAATTACTCAATATGTTGCAATATATGGACCCCAGTATAAGTGAATGGTATAAAAACAAATCAGTAATTTGAGGGTTAATAACATAAATCAGGACATTAGCTAATTACAATTTTCTATAAAATATGTATTAAAATATCATTATGCATGCAACAGTCTTCCTGTTTAATATGTGTAAATTGTATAATCAAATTTTTCAGATTTTAGTGCTTTATGATTGTTGTGAATTTGTCATTTAAAAATATTTTGTAAGAATAATTGCAATAATATCATTTTCAAAAGCTATGAATATAGAACCTATTTATTCTAGTTATAGGATTCATTCTATAATTGGTTAGAGGAGAGCCTGTATTTTGCCTGATGTTAAACTCTTCTAGCATGTAATTAAATAAATAAAATTAAAATACACATCATGTGCAGCTGTAAGTATAATGTTTATTTCTCCTTGGTACTACGACTGTTTGTAGCAGTGTGTCATTTGCTAAGTGTTAAATCTGAAGATTTATAGGAACCACACACAGTATATTGGTTAAATTATGACTTCCCATAAACTAGTTGCAGACTTATATGTTCGCTCACCTTGCAGTAAATAGCATATAGGCCATTTAGATTATGTAAGTAGAAATAAGATAAACAACTGAAGTTTATTAGAAATGTATGATTAATTGTAAATTTCCTGTTATGATTTTTTGTGTATGTTCTATTAAAGCTTATTTTTTCAACATGTATAGTAACATTTCATTTATGGTTACTAGTAATTAACCTACAGGTTTTAGGTTAGAAGATGTTGCTATTCCAATTTTTGTCTGTTACACAGCTTTCACAGATAGGAGGTATAATTTTCTTCTAAAACCTTGTTACAGCTGAATAACATTTTTTTCCCCAAATATTTTTGAAGTTTTCACTTTTGTGCAATGTAAAATTGTAATTTTTATTTTTAAAATTTGTTTATCATGTGGAAAACTGGAAAAATTACATTACTAAAATTTATAATATCAGTGGAAGTTTATTATTACTCCTGTCTTTATATCTGTAGAGCCTAGACATATGGAGCTTTGGCACAACTGTGTTTCACACACTTGTTCTCGTTGTTAACTTGAAGGTAAATTATTTTTTAAGTGAAACTAAACTTTTTTGCTACTTTATACTATTTTTTAATCTTTGAGTTTCATACTAACCAATGCCAAGGTTCAATAAAATATTTTGGATTTTATTTCATGGGATTCAATTATTCAAAGTAATATCCTGTTTTACTCTTGTTGAAGTAACTTTAAAGCAAGTCAGTTTATATTTTGAACATTTATAAATGTGCATTATGATTATTTCAATATATATATTTCTGATAAGGTACATTACAGTGCTGATCTCTATATGCACAAATTTTTTTTATGCATGCCCCAAGCCCTCTATCTCCCCGCCATTGGAATTGACTGATTCCAATGCATCTCTCATGCAAATCATCATGTGTCAACTTTCCACCAATAAGAGTGCTACATACTCTCATGATGCATGTGACTTTCTTTATTCAATTCTACTGAACTATCACTTTTCATTTGGCAGTACTTGTGTTCAGCTGTTTTTTTCTTTTGATGCTCTTCATGAGAATCGTGATTTTAATAGTTCAATTTCCAAAGGGGGAATTCTTCATTGTTATTATTTTTATTTACATTGAAGAAAGCTTTTAATTTAACTTGATTTCCCAATTTTTATATTTTTTTCTTCTCACACTCGCATACTTTCCATCAAACATATTTGTTTGATTTATGTATTTCTACAATGAATTCCGAGGTTCATGTACCCACTTTAGGTGTTATACCTCAAGCACTATTTCCACAGGCTGCAGGTGGGGGAGACCCATCATTGGATTTCTCTGCTATTATCCATCAAGAGATTGATTGTTAGATGGGTCAACTTTATTCTCCTGAACTTGCCCCACTAATCCTCTGGAACAAGCGAACCTGTTGAGATCAATTAAAATTTGATAGCCTTTTCATACCACCAGCTTTTGCCATGTTCTCCCTACCCCTCCTGCAGAATCAGCAGCAGAATACAGCATTTTTGACATGATTTCTCAGGTTTGTTATGTCTTATCCAATTCCCCATTTTTATTACCTCTATGTTGGCTTGTTTGTCATGTTTGTCTCTCGCTTTACACATGTGGGATTACAATATTTTATACACAATTTTGTTCATACAGACAGATACACGAGTGGGATTACAATAGTTTATACACAATTTTGTCCATACAGACAGATACGCGAGTGGGATTACAATAGTTTATACACAATTTTGTCCATACAGGCATGATTTCTCAGGTTTGTTATGTTTTATCCAATTCCCCATTTTTATTACCTCTATGTTGGCTTGTTTGTCATGTTTGTCTCTCGCTTTACACATGTGGGATTACAATATTTTATACACAATTTTGTTCATACAGACAGATACACGAGTGGGATTACAATAGTTTATACACAATTTTGTTCATACAGACAGATACACGAGTGGGATTACAATAGTTTATACACAATTTTGTCCATACAGATATGATTTCTCAGGTTTGTTATGTTTTATCCAATTCCCCACTTTTATTACCTCTATGTTGGCTTGTTTGTCATGTTTGGCTCTCGCTTTACACATGTGTTTTCACTGTAGTTGGGATTATCTGGGTCGCAATGTGACCTTGTCTTGGGTATGTCTGCCACCTTTTTCTTTTTTGGATTTCTGTATTTTTTCTTTGTGGATATGTTTTTGATCATGTATCTGAGACTTTAGTATCTCATGTGTAATGTGTGTATCAACACTCGTCTCTTTCCTCTTTGGTTGCACGTTTGTTGTAGTTGGAGCCATGACAATCCCCTATTCCATTCCCATTCTGGTCCTTATGTACCCATCCATGTTCCCCTTCCAGGGGTTTCTCATCTCATTGTTTTATTTAACATTGATGGGTATGTTGCCAACTGCACCAGAGACTAACCAGAGTGTTTTGGTCCAGTGGGAGCTTGACTATATTATAATGTTACCATTTGTCAATCTTTCACCACAGTTCCATGGGTTCTTTGGGTTTTATCAGAGAGACTTGTTCTGTTATTTCTTTCCTCACTTCCTTTGTCCCTGGTACTTTTCCTTCCCCATGATCTGGGATCCTGCCACCAGCCTGCATCTGTCTGAGGAGGTACAAGATTGTCTGTCTCTACAGGCCATTTAACCAGTTCATCATCTTTCTCCAGGCTGTTTGTTATCCTCTCACCAAATAGGAGACTAGCAGGTTTATAGATGACAAAGAAGAATGATGCAAATTATTAATTGTATATCTCTATATTTCATCACTTGTGACCCTCTCTTTGGTTTATTCTCCACATGGTGGTTTCTCTGCTTTGTGCACTGCCCTTTGGACTTGCTTTGGCCTTGTACATTTTGATGGGTATTCAATGCATTCATTTGTCACTTATATGCTCTTGGGTTGTGTTTTCCTCTTTCTTTGGTCGACTGGCTACTGTTCGCTCATTCTGAAGAGGAGTCCACCTGTTACCCTTATCAGCTGATAATCAAGTTGGAGAAGCCCTTACTGCGACCTATCCAATATCTTGACCATTTGGGTCTTTTTTATACTCATCTCGGTCCAGCCAGCCCTTCTCCTCTTCGACTTTGTTCTATGGGTTTTCAGTTTGATTGCAGCTGCAATGTTGTATTGTTTTTGGTCACACTCATATGTGGACTCTTTCATAGGCTTTCACGACCAGTAGAATTTTGCAGGGATCCTTTGTTAACTCTTATTACCCTTCCTCCTACCCTTGTCATCAATCGGCATTGGTGGTTGGATATGGCTCACACATTGGCAGGTTTCCCGCTTCCTCCTCCTCATTCAGTTTTCTACATTTCATGGATGTATCTCCTCAGGGATGGGGTGTGTGGGTTGATCAACTGGAAGATTTGGGGGTTTTGGTCTGTGGCCAAGAGGTCTTATCCCATCAACATCCTGGAGCTTCTTTCTGTAGGTTGTGTTTGGCTCATTTTCTCCACCTGGCTAGACATTGTCTGGTAATGATCCATTCTGACTTGTCTTCAGTAGTTGCTTATCTCAGTCACCAGGATGGCACCGTTTTCTATCCCTCTGTATTCATACATTGGATCTTCTTTTTGGGCCAGCACACCTGATATTCCTATCATTGCATGTCAGGTTCCAGGTGCTTTGGCTCTTGTTATGGATCAAATTCCTGTCCAGACAACATTTATCCAATGAAGGGGTCTCTCAATTCTTTTTCTTTTCAGTGGGGTACTCCTCACATTGAGGACAAATTAACCACAAATTGCCTTGGTGTTAGTCTCTAGTTCCTTGTCATCTTGCTCTGGCTATTGATGTTTTCAGCCAGGACTAGATCTACACATTTGTCTATCCTCCTGTTCTCCATCTTTTCCAGGTGATTTCGTTCATTCTTGACACTCCATGTTTAGTCCTTCTGATAGCTCTTTCCTGGCTGTCTCAGCTGGGGTTTTCATGGCTTTTACAGCTCCAACTTCCTCCTCTGTTACCTTTTCTTCTATGTCCTGTATGTGCTCTTTGTTATATTGCCTGCATGTCTTCCTTCTGCGGTATCCGTTCCTGCCTCTTTTGCCCTTGGCAACTGTCCTCTTTCGTGTTCTTTCTACTTCCTTCTTCTCCATTTGTATTCAGCTCTTCATTCAGTTGGCTTCTTCTTTATCATCTTCCTCCCATACTTTATTCTGCATGTCTTCTCACTCAATTCAATACCTTACCTTTTCATTGGAGTTTCATATCATCCTTTGAAGGTACTTGTGGACTACCCATTATATATTCATCTCTCACTATTTGCATCAGTTAACAGTTTTCTTCCTCTTTGAGTTATCATCTTCTGCCTGTAGCCATTCTGGAATATCAGAATTCAGTGACACTTTGACTGGGTAAGTTATTTTTTCGTATTTTTCATTTTCAGGGGCTCTTTTCCCTTTTATTAATGCTCATTGTTTGGATCCTGCTCTGAGGCGAATGGTGTCTGATTAGCTATTCTTTAACTGTTCAAATCCGCACTGTCAAGCCATGTCAACTTGTATATTATAATTCTATGGCCACACAATGCACACTGCAGAGATGGGGTGTTTCACAAGATCGTTGGTAGGTTTAATCTCATGATAGAATTGCTTCATAAGTTTGCCTGTTCTGGACCATACCCACCTATGGACTACGTGTGTAAAGCACAAGGGGATAGCTGCCCATCCCTGCCATCCCTTGTATTGAATATATCGGTATGATTTGCTTTTAAAAAAAAGGGTTTTGTGGTCACCCATTACACCGTCTCAGGTGTTGTTGTTCCTCCGGACTCTCCACCATGTTCTACTCCCCTTTTCTGCTAGTGGAGTTTGAGAGTCCTTACCACTTTCCAGTTCCAAGCTGCTGAGGTGGTGAATCATGGAGGCATCCTCCTGAATGGGTTAATGAAATACAAACAAAACATAGAAATTATTGTAAAAAACATTTAGTTGAGAGTAGGGTGGTGGTGTTCTGCTGGTATAGATGATGTGATATCCTCCAATATGAAACATAAAAACAAATGGGAGTGAGACGTCAAAATTGCAGTTCACCCCTTTGATTGAGATCCCTCATCCTACCCTCCACGTGGATGTTGGTTCCTAGTAGCCAGGTTTTGGATTTAGAATAAAACCAATCAACATAAATCATCACACATGTATTACAGATGTCTATATTCCTCCCTCATTTATATTCCATCAGTGTTGTGAGTCACAGTGGAGGTAATTGCAGATTGTTACATTTCTTTCCCTTCCATTATCCCTCGATGTTTCTTATTCTGAGGATGTTATTGTGCTTGGGGTGTTTCTGGTCAATTTCACTTTTGAGGGTGATGGTTTACATTATGTAGACATCTTTTCAATAACCGTTTTTGGTTTCTTGGATTGACCTATCAATTTAACTTGAGGTGAAGACAGTATGATCCTCTTTCCTATCCCCACATGGATTTCGGTACCCGGCAGCTGGGTTTTGGATTGTAGTTGACTTACTGATGGTGTGATCCTCATCCTACCCCCAAGTGAATGTCGGTTCCCAGCAGCATGGGTTTTGGATGTTATTGACATGGCGTGTGCTGTCTGTTGTACCTTGCCACTCTACACCAAGGAGCACAGCCTTTTCATTGTACCAACTTTTATAATTTATGGGATTGAGTTTCATAAATATTGCATGGTTTGGATCACTTTCCAGCCACAGTTCATAGATGTGCTTTTCTGTTTTCCACCCATATATGTGACATCTTTCTATGATATTGATGAGAATACCTAGTTCAGAAGTGGTGCGGTTTCCCACATCAGATCTCAGAATCTGACTGTCTCATCTTAGGGAGTGTCCTTCGGATGCTTCTTTCTTTCCCTCATACTGATCTTTCCACCTATTCAGTTTGGGATTCTAGCTACTTATGTGAGTGGGGATAGTGTACCGTATTGGAAGTTATAATTTTCCTACACTGAAAATATATTCCCTATAGGTACTTACCTCCTTTCACACTTCCCACCCTTCCTCCCAACTGAAAACTGGTGCTTCCATCTTCTGCCAAAAGTTGAACTGATAGTTCAGTTATATTGAATAGATGGAGACACATGCATTATGGGCATATGTCACACTCATGATGATTTGCATGAGAGATGCATTGGAATAAGTCAATTCCAATGGAGGGGAGATAGAAGGCTTGTGGGCTGCATAAAAAAAAATTTGTGTATAGAGGCATTGAATGTGAATAGCTATTTATATGAGCAGAAATACATTTTTCAGTGTAAGAAAATTATAACTTATGTTTGTCTTATTCTTTAAGACATATACACATGTATATTTTATAGATTATATAAATTTGTAACAAACATTTTGCTATTTAACACTGGGATTCCTAATTTCATTTATGTAAATATGTGAGTAATGTTTTCTAGAAATATTTTCGTAATACAAACTGTGAATCAAAATATAAAGAAAATTTAGACACTACTGAAATGTTTTATGTTGAGAACTTTCATACAAGCTTATTTTTCTTGATAGTTGGGTCTACATACAAGATATTGGACAAAACTGTTTGTGTTTTCCTTGCTGTCTACTATCTTCAGTTTCATTGGGTTTAGTTTCCTTTATGGTGGAGTGACTTTGTAAGTTAATCTTTAAAGATTTGTAGTTAAATTACACTATTTCATTCTTGCGTATGATTTTAAGTCATTAAATAAATTCATCTCTGTAAAAAGTAGTCTTACCGTAATATAATTGTGTGATTTAATATTTCTAACTTTATTTATTATGTTTTGAATTTATCAAGAGGACTGAGTTATGAGATTAAGTTATTATATTTTATATGTTAGTTATTAAGTATATAGTTTATGAGCCATTCAATGGATATTTTTTTAAATTTGTTTTTATATCTTAATAATTTTTTCTGTTTAAAATAATTCTTAAGATACATGAAAATTAAAGTTTGATATTAATATTTGATAAGTCAGCTGTTTATTTACACTTATTTTGTTATAAGTACAAAACAGAAGTTTGTAGTTTTTTAAATACATAATTTTTCATCATTAGGTGTTTTTAATTCATGAAACAAAAATATTAGATTTAAACATATATAACAACTTTATTGTATTTACAGAGTTAACTTAACTTTCAAGTCTAAAAAAGGAAGAATTTTCTCTATTGAACAGCTTTGTAAATTGAAGAAATGTACAAGTGCTATTAGCTTTTCAAGCCATGTAGAGCTGTGTTGTAACTTATATAATCTGCCATATTTGAAGCAAGCCCCAGTTCAATATAAAGTTTGCATTAAAAAAGTATCTTTAAATCTATGGTAGTTTTAGACTAGACCTCAGTATAAAGCCAACATTAAGTAGAAATAACATAAAATATGAGTTGTAGTCATAAAGTAGAAAGTTTTGTTGTAGTTATGTATTTCATAACACTTTTTATTTTCATGTCTAGTAGCTTTGTATTTTTTATCGTGTGTACTTTTTGTTGTCGTTAATTTTTGCAGCAAATTTCTCGTATATCAGTCTCCTGCCAGCCATATATCAGCTTCAGCATCTGTTTACTTTTTTTGTGATTAGCATCATATTTCACATTTTCATTAATAAATAAATGCTAGTTATTGATATCTGCATATTTCCTCAGAAAATAAAATGCTTTTGTTGGATGAAAAATGTTTTGGTTTTAATTTTCAAGGTAGAAACAGCATAAAAATTTCTTTACTTCAGAAGTTTAGTGCTCTACTGGTGGTCCCACAACTCTGAGATAAGGCCTGAAGATTGTGTTTGTTTGTGAGAGGGGGAGAATAAGTGGTTTACTAGTGATTACTAGTGGCTTAACCCTTTAGCTCAGTTGGTACAGCATTCGCTTGACATATGAGAGGTCATGGGTGATGAAAAAAAGGTTATTCAAAGGGTTGCTATCTATTAATATTTATATATCTTTCTTTTTTTTAGAATATAACAATCACTATAAGGTGAACAAAACTTTAATGCTAAATTTAAATGCAAAGCCTCAATACAGAGACAGAAATGCTGTTCACTGTTAGAGTATACTCTAAGTGTATGCAGTCAATAAAAATTTTCAATCCAATACAAAACTCTACTCTGCATAAGCTTTCTGAAAACACTACCAATATTTTCTTTATCTCTAGTTATGTAATTAGATTTAATGTTATTAAAATATTACCAGTAGCTCCATACAAAATATTGTGTTTTTATGAATATGCTTTTAAACTGTACTTAATTATTTGAAGACAATGTAATTTATGATTTATATCATGGTTTTTTTGCTATTGGTGATTTGACATAATGCGATATCCCAAACATCTTATCTAATTCCTATTAACAATTTCCTACTCTACTGGATTAATGTGAGAAAAATAGTATTTAAATGATTGGTATATTGTCATAGGTTATGTTGTAACAGAAATCCTAAGTCATAATTGTTTATTTATACTACTATTAGTGTTTTAAAAATTCCCATTAAACATTTTAAATGTCAAGTACCTTATTCGACTATTTTATTTCATAACAACATTTTGTCATAGAACTACATTGGTGGGGTTTTGTAGGATTTAAATAAATAATTATGTATTTAAGTTCTGTTTAGTACCCTACTGGTTTTTTTAAGGGTAATAATTTTCACCATTTTTTCAAAAATTACCATTTCACTAGGCAATTACATCACAATGTCTTGTTTGGAGTTTACATAAAAATCCTATCATCACCATCTGTTTGGTTTCTGAGCATTATCCTGGTTGTGACTGCATTGCTACCTGATCTTTTGTTTCAACTACTGGAAAATTACAGTTTCAGTCTTAAAGAAATATTTGGCATATGTAAAGTAAGTTAGTGATTACATATTGAATTTCACTTTTCCTTGTTTTTATTGATCTTATAACTTTAAGTAGAAAACATTTCTATATATTGAACGTTCATGAGTATGCAGAGAATTTGAGTTTTCTATATGTGAGTAACATTTGCTTCAACTGAATGTTTCTTCTTTTACAGTAATTTTAAATATTCTGATATATGTTCTGAATTTAACAGCTTTATACTACCAAAAAAGAAACAAGTGAAAACTTTCTGTAAAACAAATGTTAAATGCATTTCAGATGATTTTATATAACAGTACCTTGCAATTTCTGTTTGATTGTTAAATATAATGTAAGTACCAGAAGTTAAATATTTCAGATATACATTATCAAATTTGTTCTTTGTTTTTTCATAATGTAGAGGTATTATTCAGTGAATTCCATCAACACAGAGACTGCCCTCTTAGATAACAGATGCCCTTCAACTAGTTACAGAAACAATTACCATGATGAAAATCATGAAATGGAGATTACACAAACAGTAAGGAATAGATAAGCTTTGGGAGAATTTAGTTGTATTTATAGTGTGTATGATTACAGAATTTTGGCTACTTGTCATTGGTGTTCCTTATATAGTTACAGCATAACATTTACTTTCACTAGAAGTAGCAATATGTTCATACACATACATGTGTTTGTGGCAGGTACTTTCCATTCTTCAGCTTACTTTATCATAACAGTGGTAGCTTGTAATATATAAAAGAAAACGTATTTAGCACCATTTTCTTACCTTTGCTGCTGATTGGGAAAAAACATTTTGTGTCATGTTATGACTCTTCCATCAAATAAACAAGGATTTTTAATCACTTGGTTACTGTGTTAGGTTAAGGCAGTTCGTAATAATCCAACTATCTGATCGGAGGAACAAGTGATTGACTTTCTATTAAATTTCTTAATGTAGTCATGAAAGACAGTAGCAATAAAATATCATTTAAACTTTGTGCTTGAGAGAACAGGTTGGAATTACTTAAGCTTTTTTATGTGTGTCCTAGGCCAAGTTATTATTTTTTTAGAAATTTCTTGCATTACTTTCTGAGCTACTGACTCCTAAGTCTGATTACTATTCATTCTCCATTAGTTGGATGGCTGCAAATCACATTCACTCTTTCTACTACACAGACTCTGTTGCTTATATGACTAAGATGTGATTAGACTACTGCTTAAGCTCTGTAGCTGTTATCTATTGTTTGAACAACTATATGCTATTAGTTATTTTCTATAACTGTATAGTTCGAGAACTTTCTATTCTTTTGCTGCGGTATAACTTTGGTTCTGATTATACATGTTCTCTGTAGTTTATATGACTATGCCATAAAACTCACTTTGGTTATTATTATTAAATTTTTGTTACCTCAGTGCAACATTCCCGGCCATACACATTTTCTGTATCTTATATGATTACATCATAAAACTCATTTTGATTACTAGTAGGTTTTTATTACTACAGTACAACATTCATTGTGACTACTATTCATCCTTTAACTCTGTGGGACCCAGGTCTGTTGTATGGTTTGTTTATTGAATTACAAAAATACTATTTAATGAAATGTTTTGAAACTGAATTATTTTCTATAATTATGTATCTTCTACAAATGAAATATCTAATTTTTATGTAATATTTGTATGCATTCATATCTTTGAAAATTCTAAAATCTTTCATTGTAATATGTTTTTAAAGAAATAATTTAAAATATTTACATTTATTGTAGCTTTTAATTACAGATTTTTATGATTTCCTATATTCTTTTAAAACTGCTATACAGCTTTATTTTGTGTAACTGTAAATGTGATCTTTGTTTGGATTCCAAAAACAATGCATGTATTGTCACTGTAGTTATGATCAATGGTGTGTAATAAAAACAAAACTTCATAAAGTTGAGAGCAAAATGATTTAAATAAGCTTATTTCATCATATCATATTTCAACATATAAACTTTCAAATAAAATACAAAATCATAAAGGAAGCTTTTCTCAAGCTTTAAAAATATTAGATCTGTAACTGTAGAAGTTGTTAACAAACACCTTTTTTTTTTCTAGCAACATATCACTAAGCAAAACTTTTATCACTTTGTTCCGAAGAGTTGTCATGACATACTAAGATAAGTAGCCTATCTCAAAGATGAGATATGGGCAATTAACACACCATGATAGCTGAGGTTGAGAAAAAGAGATTGACTAAATGATAAAAACTCTGCTTGTACTAAAATTACAAAGTCTAATTAGTACTCTTTTGTCAAAAACCAGAGGCATTGCTAGGCACTGGAACATGTGCCCTGATTCTATTTGATAAGTGCCCCAAATCTTCAGTTAGTATCTTGAAAAATCAGAATAGAAAAATCATGATTGATATAAAACTGAAATGTCAAAAATTCCTGTTTAAGTACCTAGCAATGCTTCTGTTAAAAACTATTATGACTTTTTTTCTTAGGAGACTATTAGTGTGATATTATATTCAGAAAATTCACAAACACTAATTATTTCTTTGAAAGCATGCTGAAATCAACTCAGTATCAAAACTTGTTATTTTTAAGCTTTTTATGAATAAAATTAAAGAAGTAAAACTTTTAATGCGTAGAAAAGTGACTACAAGTTTAGATCGATTAATGGAAAACTGAATGAAGAAAGCAAGTTTCATTTCAGGATGGTAACTTGCTTTCTTTGTCCAGTAGACTGTATCACATTGTGACCTATGTTCCCTGACAACATTGGTCAGCTTCAGTCAATGTCATACTTGGCCAGCAAAGGATATTACAGTTTTAACTTGTTCATCCAGGTTCTATATACAATACTGAAACATCCCTGCAGGTAGAGGAGACATCATCTACTAGAGAATAAAGGATGAGACAGCTATAATAATATAAATCATTGATAGATTGTTTAGGCAGACTATTCATGATGAAATTTAGTTGAACGAATGTTTCAAAAGTCTTCCACCTGAAGATGAAAGGCAAATGTTAGCAACATCATGTGTTGCTGTCATGACAGTGCAGAAACTGAATAATCAATAATTTGTAATAATTCTATATTACTACTAGTATGATAAAAAGTTTTAAAAAAACAAGTAGGGATTGTTATACATGTAGCCTAGCTAGCTATAGTAATATAGAAAGTTTTAATGGTACAAAAAGTATTGAAACAAGAAAGTCAAAACTACAAAAACTGCGTTACTTACAATTTTTTGAACATGTATCACATTGCCTAGAACAGCCTCCTATTTGCAATCAACTATATAAGTTGCATTGTCTCACTCATCCATAGAGAAAATCTTATTAGAAAGATGTCTCTCAGATGTAAAAGTAGGCCCTTACAAATTCAAATCTAAGTAAATGTCTGCTAACAAAGTTTAGACTTTCAAAATAATATATTTTATACCAAAGTCATGTCCTAACATCAAAAATAAATCTGTTGTTTGGCAGTATTTTAGAAATTTGTGTATGCAACAAGATCCTTATGCATCTGTTTGTACTCGCACAGACTTACCATGAGCTGAAACAAATGATGATCCTTTGTGAGTTTGCCAAAAAATTATTTAGCATATTAAATATTAAAAAAATTATTGTTAAAATAATTTGATCAATGAAGCTACATTGCATTGTGTGCAGTTGTAAGTTGTGTTACATATACATGACTGTTTCACTTGAATTTAATACGAGAGTTATGACTTAGATAGTTATAAAGCATGAGTGATAAATTTAGTAATTTTAGAAGTGATAATTTATTGCAGGTTTGCTTACATAACTGTTTTTGAATCATTCATTGTGTAGTTCAGTTGTTGTGAATTGACGTCATGTTACTCGAACCTTCTGAATTTTTCTTGTTGTTTTAAGTGAGTATTGTATTGTAGTTTGTAGAAGGTTTTAAGCCTCAGTCGGGCAATATATAGACACATAGACAACCAATTTAGTGCAAATAAATGTTAGTGAAAGTGAAAGTAAGATAAAGTGAGTGAGAGATATAGTCAAATAGATCTAGACTGTATTTGTGAGTTTAACCATAAAAAGTGTATAGTGGGGATTTTTAAAATGAAAATATCACAGCTTATATTGTAATAACAAAGATAGAGGAGAATAATTTGTCTTGTCAAAAGGTGTTCTAAAGCAATTGAACTCACTTATGTGGACTTTGACGAAAAGGGGACAATTATTTAAAGCTCTGGATACGACTGTGGTAACCCACAAGGTAATGTCAGTGAATTTATCACTGATTGTATTGTGATAACAGGGTAGAGAATAATAATTCGTCTTTTCAGTTGGGTTTTAAGTTAACAGAACCAGCCTGTGTGGACTCTTGATGAAAAAGAGACAGTTATTTAAAACTGTGGGTACAACTGTGATAACCAATAGTGTAACAAAATTTTGTATGTACGTTTGACTTGTTTTGAATATATTATTTTAAAGCAAGTGGACTGTGTGCTGTCGTTTATTATTGAAATTTATCTCCAAGAAGTAACAGACATCTACTGAAAAGAATCCTGCCCACACATACATAAAAACCTGACATTGTAAGCCAGCCAGAATAATACAGTGGTAAAGGCAGTAGAAGAAGATGTGAACGATGCTGGAAATAGGCCTATATATGCACAGCTGTATTGGTGGTGAAAATATTGTAGAGTTTACAACCACATTATATGACCATGTTGATTGACTTTGATAAGTGGGTAGAGAGAGGTAAGGAACTTGGGCTCAAAGATAGTGATCTATGAGAGTTTGTTACACAACAACAAGAACTAGAGAGAGAAGAGCATCAACAGAGGAGAGAGGAGGAGAGGCAGAGAAGAAAGGAAGAGAGAACAAGAATGCAAATTGAGAAAGAAGAAAAAAAAAGGAGAGAGAGGAGAGACTGGAAATAGAGAGAATAGAGCACAAATTGAGATAACCAAGCTCATCCAACAGAAATATTGAGGACCTAAGAATGACAATGGGGCCATGGCCAACCAACCCAAGTTACCCAAACTTGATGAAGAGAAAGATGGCATGGATGCTTTCCTGGTGAGGTATGAAAGATTTGCCCAAAGTCAGAACTGGGACAATGGTGACTGGGTAGTCTGTATAAGCCTCCTTCTCATAGGAAAAGTCTTACATGTGGACATGATATCAGAAGATGCCATGGACTATGAGAAGTTAAAAGTGGCTTTGCTGAAATGCTATGAACTTCCCTAGGAAGGTTTTCCCCAGAAGTTCAGAGAAGTTAAACCTGTTACTGGAGAAACTGTATTTTGGTTTGTGGCACATCTACAGTGATAATTCATATAGCCATCTGTGAAGATAGTTTTGAAGGACTGGCATACCTACTAATATATGAATAGTTCATGATCGTGTGCTCCACTGACATGTCACTGTTCTTAAAAGAGAGAGAGAGAGCTCCTAAAGATGTGGATGAGATTATTAAGCTTGCAGAACAGTATATGGAAGCCCAAGGGTGGCTGATCAGAAGCAGAATGCCACCAAAGGTGACAAGAAGTCAGCAGACAAAATGGAGAAG